AATAGACAAAATAATTAATAGATTATATAATTATGTAATTATTAAACCCAGAAAGGTGATGGAAAAAATCACTTAAATTGATTAAGCATTTAATACATGCACCAAACAAATGAAAAAAAATGCTTTCTTTTCCTATGTCCTATAAATTTTGATCTATAAACCGACGAAAAAACAAAAGATCAAATCACAGCAGAAATTAAATTCTTAGGCATTTCTATAACAAAAAGTACATGATAATTATATGAAGAAAAGATAATATTTTCTAGAGAATTATGAGAAATAATTTTAAAATGTAGACATGCCAGACTAGTAGATAAAAAGATGGAATATCTGAAATATTTTTATTTTAATTTAATGCATACATTTAATGGCAACCAAATAAAAGTTCCAGTAGAACTTCTTTAACTTGACTGAAATGTTAAATTTCCTGGAGGAAGAATAAACAAATAAGTAAAATTTAAAAAATAATCATTTCATAAAGGGAGAGGAGGGGTACTTGTCCTATCAGATAATAGAATATCGTCATGGTTTGAATGTTTGTCCCCTCCAAAACTTAATCACGAATGTGGCAGTGTGGAGAGGTAGGGACTTTAAGAGGGGATTGGGTTATGAGGGCTCTGTTCTCATGAATGAATTAATCTATTCCTAGGTAGATTAATAAACCAGTGGGCTAATGGATTGATAAGTTATCGTGGTAAGGGGACTGGTGGCTTTCTGAAAGGAAGTAAGACCTGAGCTACCACGCTCAGCCCCCTCACCATGGATACCTTCTTCTGCCTTGGGAATCTGCAGCGTCTCCCCCAGCAAGAAGGCCCTCACCAAATGCAGCCCCTCCCGCTTTACTCCTCAGCCTCTATAACTGTAAGAAAGAAACTCCTTTTCTTTATGAATTTCAAAGTTGCAGGTATTCTGTTATAAGCAACAGAAAATGAACTAAGAAATGCATATTATATAACCTGAGTAAATAAAAGAATATGATATGAATGTAAGAATTAATTGACAATAAAAATCAATAGACACACGTGACATGGACTAACACTAATACTTGAGAACTCAGAATGTGGATGAGCTTGGAGGACATTGTTAGGCAAAATAACTTAGGCACATAAAGATAAATGCCATGTATTCTCATTCACATGTGTAAGCTAAAAAATGTGATCTCATACCAGTAGAGAGTATAGTAGTGGTTACTAGAGGAAGGGAAGGATGTGAGAACTATGTAGTAAGAGGTTGGTTAACCAATACAAAAGTACAGCTAGACAGAAAGAATAGGTTAAGTGTTCTATCACACAATAGGCTGACTACAGTTAACAACTTATTGTGTATTTTCAGATAGCTAGAAGAGTGGATTATAACTGTTCCCAACACAAAGAAACGATAAATGTTTGAAGTGATGTATGTGATAATCACCCTGATGTAATTAATCATTACATCTTGTAAACAGGTACCAAAATCTTACATCTTACCCCATAAATGTGTTTAATATTATGTGTCAATTAAAAATAATAATAAGACCAGGCACAATGGCCCACGCCTGTAATCCCAGTGCTTTAGGTGGCTAAGGCAGGAGGATCATGTGAGCTCAGGAGTTAGAGGCTGCAGTGAGCCATGATCTTTCCTTTTCATGGTATTCCAGCCTGGGGGACAGAGTGAGAACCTGTCTCAAAAAAAAAAAAAAAAAAAAAAGTAACTAAAAAAGATAACTGGGTAGGAAAGTAAATGCAATTGGATAGGCTACTGGGGAATTTAATTTCTTGCACTGGACAGTAGGTATCCACAAATACTTGTTGATTTATTCCTTGTAACCCTAACTATGTATGAAGTATTTATTTTTTTGTTATTTTTCTACTCCTGTGACAGATTATGAAATGTTTTATTTTTAAAGGGTCCAATGGGTAAAGGGGGATATTTAACAAATTGGGAAAATTTGTCTTTTGGAAGAAAACACAAGTTAAACTTTTGTTTGCATAGAGATTTCTAGATATTACCCATATTTCCAATATTCCTCCTTTCTGTGGATATACTATATGTTGCAGAGCTACATGTCCCTTTCTGATCAACGGGCTCTGATAAATTAATTAGGAGCCAGTGAATGATTGTCCATGCTCTTTCCTCTGTTGCAGACGCCTGTGTCTAGAAAGATGGAGCTCCAGGTTTTGCAGCGGGAACTCATTTGGTAAGACTGTTCCCTCCGATAATGTGCGAGGCAGAATGTGTACCCAATGAATGTGTGTCTCTAGCATGAGAACTCGCAAAGCAGATATTAATCTGTGCTGGTCACTATGGGTTGTATTTGATAAGGAATTATAAGAAAAACAGTTCTGAAAAGTATTATCTGTTTGCCAGCAAGAATGAAAAAAATAGTTCAGATATTTGGGGTCTTGAATGAGTTAAACCAGTAATTGCTTTCAATCCTAAATAGTAAAAGAGAAAATGTTAAAAGACGTTAAAATTGAGCTGTTTACAAAAACAAACAAACAAGCAACAGCAACAAAAATAAATAATAGATTTAGACTGTACTTTTACTCATACAAAGGAATTAATGAGATAAAAATGCCTTAGGGAAAGATCAAACTAAGGGCCTGAGGCCCAGTAATCTTTTCAATTGGAAAAATAGCTCAGGTAAAAGAGCTTAAGGGTTCCATTCTCTCATCAAATCCAGATAGACTCAAGAAAACTACCGGGGTCTTCAAGCTGGGAGAGGTACAGGCACACGAGTGTAAAGAAATACAGATGAAGTGAGAAGTGTGTTAGATAAAGAATCGTAGCTGTAGCGATTGGCACATGGAATTAATTGGAATTCAATAGGTTAGAAAAACCAACAAAGTTTTAAGAGAGTTGTATTGCTTAAGAAACTGTGAGCCTGCACTAAAAGTGTTTGAGACTCTAAAACAAGGGTGTCCAATCTTTTGGCTTCCCTGGGCCACACTGGAAGAAGAAGAATTGTCAAACTAACTAACACTAGTGATAGCTGATGAGCAAAGCCAAAAACCAAAAACAACAACAACAACAACAACAAAAACTCGTGATATTTTAAGAAAGGTTACAAATTGGTGTTAGGCTGCATTCAGAGCGGCCCTGGGCGGCGTGCTAAAACACCTCTCAGGCCCTGAGTAGGAAGTAGGCTAAGAAAACTTCATATTCTCTAGGATCCATTTTATATGAGCCCAAGAAGGGAGAAAGGAAAGGAAAAATATCTCCCTAAGGGTGGAGACAGAAGACACAGAGACCAAGAACCAAGCTGGATCCTCCAGGAGAGCAGAGTCTGGGCCTCATGAAGGTAGGGTACTCAAAAAACGTCTGCCTGGAAGGAATTCAGAATTTTTCAGGAACAGGGACTCCTGTTTCCTTTTTCAATTATGACATGTATAAGTGCCAGATAACTTGTCATTTTAGTTGCTGGGTTTCCAAAGCTATGGGAGCTACCTGTAGACTTGACATAGAGAGTACAGTATGCAAGGATTTTGTATCCAAGGATTCGACCAACTGTGGATAGAAAATATTTTTTAAAAACTCAATAAAAACAATATAACAATAAAAACTAATATAAACAAAACAATATAGCATTAACTATTTACATAGTATTTACATTGTATTAGGTGTTGTAAGTAATATAAAAATGATTTAAAATATATGGAAGGATATGTATAAGTTGTGTGCAGATACTGCACCATTTTATATCAGTGATTTGAGCATCTGTGGATTGGATATCTATGGGGGTCCTGGAACCAAACCCCCATGGATACGGAGGGACAATTGTATCACTCAGAGATTCTGGATTCTGGACTTTGAGCTCAGTGCCATAACTGAGGAAGACCGTGGGGTTTTCTCTCTTAGACGGGAGGTAGGTATAATTGTCATACATATCTATACCACAGGGAGACTGCACTGAGTATCTGGAGAAACAGAAGGGTAAATTGTGGCAGATACTACCAGTCCTTAGCAATATTTCCATTTCTCCTTTTTCACTCCTCTAGTCAGTAGGCTGGGGCTAGATGACGGGTCCCATAGCCTGACTGTGTCTATCAGGAGGCAATGCATTATTTTCCGGCCCAAAGTACATGAGAGCTGATGGACTCATTTCCCACATTCTCCTCCTCTTCCACAGTGAACCCAGAGCTTTGGGTTGAGATGGGGGTGCCATAAAATGGAAGTACTCTGAAAAACGGAGCTTAAAGGCTTTTAACAGGTAAACGTGCAGTCCAAATTCTTAATTTGTTCTTGTTGTTGTTGCTGTGGAGGGCATCTGTCCAAAAGCTTTCAGGACACACATAGACTTTACATGAGCAAGGAAAAAAATGTGTGTTTAGACACTGAGATGTTAGTGTTTTTGATAATATAACTGGATCTCATAGATACATTTATCTTAGACCATTCTATGCTAAATACACACAAACATACATGCATACATATCTAATGCATTAGTTAAAAGAAAATACATTTCAACTTTTAAGCCAAGAAAATGTAAGTAAATATTTAACTTATCTCAAGTGAAGACTTTACACATAATGTGGTGAAAACAACACAAGTGAAAAAGTAGATCTGATTACTTGCAAATAACACTTTTGAATATCAGAAATATCAACAACTAAATGAAAGTTAATGACATGCTGGGGAAAACATTTTTTGCAATAGAGGGTTTATGTCCTAATATATGAGGCCCTTAAAAATGAGTATCTTAAAATATCGGCATCACACACACACACACACACACACACACGCAAAGACAAAGAATATAAACGTAATTCTTCCAATTTATGAAAACAGAAATACAGACAGATACCTTCCAAAGCCATCAGAATCTGAACCAGTGAAGAGGAGCACGTTGGCTTTCCTGCCCAATTAACAGTCATAGAAGATCGCCTGAACTGCCCCTGGGGTGTGGATATGCACCCTGAAAATATTTGACATACCAGAGCATACTTGGATGTGTATATACATATTTGTGAGAAATGTGAAAATAAATTGTTTTAGATTTTAATATTTTTCTTTATGTCTAACTTTCTTTAAGCATCAATGAGTTTTAAAAATGTAAAAATATTATAAATATTTTTGTGAGGCAAAAGGAATATTGTTGGGTCTTCTAGTTACAAACCACAGGATCCTAGAGATAACAATGAACACTCCCAAAAGCTCCCATTTAGGAAGTTTTTGGTTGATGGCATGACCCTTGAAGGGATCTGACCTCCTGAGAGAGTGACTCATAAATAATTACTATTTTTTATGATACAAATATTTTTGAAGAACAGCTAAAGTCTTCATTAAAATGGCATTATGCCCCTATGAGATTTCCCCATTCCCTAAGATTAATATCACAGTTGAGGAGACCTGAGTATTTTTTTTTTTTACCTTACAATTGTACATGAGTAATTATTTTGTGCAGTGCCATAGGTTAAATGCATATCATGAAATTCACTGTCCCCCCGATTGCCATTTCTGTCACTTAAGTCAATGGAAGTCCACAAAAATACAGTATGACTCAGAATATTGGAGCTGTGGCTAAGCAAGAAAAGTTCATTCAAAATTGATTTTCTTTCAGGAATCCTTGATATTCTTCATTCCAATTGTTCACCTCTACTGTAGGGCTCAGTAAACACTTAAGGAAGTTGCCGTGCACTGCAGCCTGCCGGAGACATGAAGGAATGTACAGGAGGATAATCGCAACATCATCAACTCAATTCTCCAAGGTAGCTGGCCAATAATGCTGTTCTAATTGAATAACTTATCCACAGCTATTTCCCCTGGGAAAGCCGAAGGCTCAGCCTCGGAAAGAGGCAGATGGTGCCGCATATACAATGAAACCTGTAATTTTCTCTTGCCATTGGACATGTTAACAGTGGGCTGTTTCTGCTTATTCCTTAGTATTTTATTTTAATAGTCCCTTCCCAAATTATAATGTACGATGAAGCAGCCAAAGACAGATTCAGTGATACATATCATATTTAATTTATCATACCTCTAGCTCACTGAACAACTCACTTGGTAGTCAGCAGCAGTATATGTCAGGGACAGGTGCAAGCTGAAAAGAAAGCGACAGAAAAGGACCCAATTAAAACCAAAAGGGGAGATGAGTCTTCAGGGTGACATGGCATTCACTCGCAGCAAAGTGTGCAGTATCAAATGCATTCTAATTCTGATTTTTTTTTAACAGTAATTTGCCATGGGACAGGCACACCCCACGTGTTTGGGAAGACAATGGGAAGGTTCTGTTTTCTGCTCCAAGACTGATTCAACCAGTTGGATCTGGAAGGGGATAAAGGGCTGTGTGGCTGCTTGATTTTCATTGTCTAGTGGCAGCCAAAGTTGGAAAAGAGAGAAGTGCAGACTTTAAAGGCAAGCAGCGACAGCTCATCAGTGGTCTAACAACACGACAGATGACAGGCCCAGAGGCACACCCAGGGCCGCCAGCCCATCAGCCTGTGCAGGATGTCAGAGAGCAGCTGCAGCAGTGGAAGAAGATCATCCAGACTTGAATGTTTGGGCCTTGCTAAGACCATAGAGTCTTTGTGCTTTGGAAACAGTCCTCCATACAGAGACCCCTTCCTAGAAAAGAGTGGAAAGAAACCAAGGTAGAATGGACACAAGAGAAAGGAGACCATGCTAATACTCTTGTGCAATGCTTCTTGGGCAGGAATTATGTCATAAAGAATGTTCCATTCTGCAAAGCCATGTCTCTCTCTCTGTGGTTTGCCTCAGAGGAGGGGCCTTTCATAGCTGTAGTGAGTAAGGGGGACCTCGCTGATGTTCATCAGATATGCCAAGGCACAGGAAGAAAGCATTGAGGTCACAGGGCAGCTCAGGTCCGCCTGTGGTAATTGAAAACGGGTGATGAGATGGGGTTGATTTTAGTTTGGAAAAGTAAATTAGTGCTGCACCACTCGGACATGGCTAATTCAGGAAGCCTCTGGCTTGTATGAGACACCCAACATGCCTTTCAGAAAGAAATGACACAACAATTAATGTGTCAAATAATAATGTGCCACTCGAAGAAAGATAATTGTACCCAGCGTCAGGTAGTTATTAGGTCAGAACGAATGCTCATCCTTTCAAAGGCAACAGCGTCTATTCACTCTGGCATCCTACTGTAAGTACAGTATTGTGTTCATAATCACACAGACTGAAACCAGGGACACTGGGTTTTATCTGATTTTTCTACATTTGGAATTCCCTAAACAGCAAACTCAGTCATGTGAAACACAAATGAGTGTGATGAAAGACAGATTGTTATACCGGAGAAGAGGCTTTCTGCGCTTTTCACATAATATAGAGCATGGGGACTGTTCCCAAGAAGGTTTAAGCATATGTAACAAAAACTATCAGACCTGAGTTTGCTCATGCGTAAATGATAGTCTTTCCTTCTGGTGATTTAATGCATGAGGACATCAATCAGTCACGTCATGGCCTCAGAAGTCCTTGTTCAATTTCTGGTGCCATAACTTACTCGATGTGGGATCTGGACAAGTCATTTAACCTCACTGCGATTCTGTTTCCTCATTTGAAAAGCAGAAATAGAAGAGCCTGCTGTATATTTAGCTCCACATCTGTTGGGAGGTCAAAGAAGAAAGGATATGAAAAGATGTTTGTAAATATAAAGAACCATGTAAATATAAGACATTATTTTATTAGTGCTCCAGATCAATTGATGTTTAGTGAATGATAAAATGTGGTATCTTTTGAACAGACAGTTTTACTTAAAAACTAGGCAATGGCTTCTGTCTTTACAAATGAAAACCTTCATAATAAATGGGGGCTCTCAAGACCACCTGCCCAAAACTGAACTAAATCCTCATTTCATTCAACCAAGAATGGGGAACTGAAATACATGATGATTATATATGCATATGCTTCTGTTTCATCCACTCAGGCATGCTTGTGATGAGATATGAAAAATTAGCCATCTTTAGAAGGAGAGAAACACTGGGTTCGGGGGTATTTTTTCTGTACAAACAATTGGCCTGGTTATTGTCTAAAGGTATTTAAAATTAATAGAATGCAATTTTATGCTATATAAAATATTCAAAGCAAAGCTATTTTAAGGTATAGCTTCTATACCTTGTCCTCCCATGAAGATGCATTCTCAACTGATATCTTGACTATATGGACAACAAATCGTAAAAGAAAAATGTACAGTGTGGTGTTTGACCTTCAGTAGCTTATGATAGACATTCATACCTGTAAAGAGATCTTGTTAGAGGAAACAAACGAATATATAACAAACAGATAATTAAAGTAAGCAGCACTGAGACAGAGAAGAGTTGGTGACTTAGCCTGCTGAAGATAGACACTTTGCTAATTTGGATTAAAGAATATAGGTATGTCTGCTCCAATATCATATAAATGCCAAAAAACTCTTGCATTCTGCAAAAGACTACCTAAAAACAAGCAGAGCTGACAGGCAAAATAAGATTGGCGGTGTGAGAGCCCCACTTGAAATCTTTGTATAATTCTATCTCGAAAGTATTATTCCATTATTTCCATCTTTAGATAATTAATTGAAGTAAATCACTAAATCCAGTCCACTTTAAGAAGAAAGGGAATAAGAACTTGGGGGCTATCTTTGAAGTCATCACAGGCTATCTCTTAAAGATAAAGGAGTGTTTAAGGAAGAGAAGACAACATAGTTGGAGAGGCCCAAGAGTTGGTTCTTGGGATCATTTGACAATGGCAGCCACAGAGTGAGGCAGTGGCAATAATAATGAACAATCCAGCATAAGCCCTGTCCTCCCTTCCTGGAGGACGGAGGGAGGTGTTGGCAGTGGTCTTAGGTTTTAAGTGTGAAAATAAGTAATTCAAAGTCTAAGCTGTTGGAATTATAAATTATTTTGAGCCTTAAAGGAATGTGATTACAAGGCCTGAGTTACATGGCAGGCAGCTGCAACCTAAGCACCTGTAATCTGTGTTCCTCTGATTATAGATTAGCCTTCTTCCTTACCTATGTTGTTTTGTAAAATGCTGTAAATGACTAAAGGGCACCAGGGAAGCCTCCTTCCCTCTTCACCGTTGATCTTCATTATAGATTAACTTCCCTCTTACCTTTCTCACACAAAGACCTCGTGGCTATCACGTTGTCTTAAGATGAAATGTTAAATACACTTTTACAGTGGAAAACATGAAAGCCAACCCTACAGAAAAGAAAACAAACTAACTAAATTGTTGTAACTCATAAACCAGCCTTGCATATAAAATGTTATAATCTTACTAAACTTCTTTGTTTTCTGCCTGTATAAGCAAGAACTTAACTTTTGTCTTTGGGGCACTGACCTCATTTATCTGAAGTCTGTGTCTCCTGGATGGCAATTCCCAGGTTTTCAATCAAATAAACTTTAAGATTCTAATCCTTTTGATTATTTCAGGTTGACAGAAGCAACTTGGGAGACGCGGTGGTAGGTCAGAGTCTCTTGAATTGTTTGGTAATTCCTGGCCTAATTCTAAGGTATAAGCCAGCTGCTCTTTTGTCAAGTTATTCCCTAGAAAATGATCATTTTATTAAATATATGTGCCATTTTAAAATAGCAAATAATGATATGAAGGATGATTTTCTTAGACCTGAGCATCTCTTTCAGGCTTTGTGGTACTCCTGCTTGCCACGAAAAACTATCCTAGAGAGTTATCCACTGTCCTGAGGTCCCTACATCATGTCTTCCTCCCAAGAATCATCCCCTATCCCCTGAGATTTTCACATTTCCTCCTACTCCTGGGGAGACCTTTGTAATATTCTGATCTCTTATTTCACCTCCACTGATTTTTATTTCCTCCACAATACCTTCATACATGTTCATAGGACCATGGACATATATATTGTACGTGAGTAATTCTTGGGATAATACCAATTCCAGGGCCCTACCCAGACAATTAATTCAGAATCTCTGGTTATTCTAACGGGCAGCTAGAATTGAGAAACCCTAATCTCCAAAATCTCAATTTTAAGTATCCTATCCCCTAGCCATTACTTTCTACTCATTCTCATTCAAACACCCCCATCCCCATTTCAATTACTTTTTAACCTTATAATGACCTCTAATCCATTGACACTTTGACAATTCATCTCTCTTCTCTTGTCCTCACCTTTTATGTACTACACTATAGTTTGACACTACATAGCCACTTCTATTCAGGGTTCATAATATTTTGGTCATTCTATTTATTATGCATGCCTCACAAAATTTCAACTTTGGTTAAATTAATTACCCACTTAGTTCATGTTGGCATTCAAGCAGCAGAATATTGCCAAGGAAAATCACAAAAGTATGTAGAATGGTCTTATTTCAAATTATTATCAAAAGTTCATATGGACCCTTGACATTGAGAGACAGTCTCTCTACACTTTCCTAGTTATATAACTTTCCTGATTCTTCTGGATGATTATGATATAACACTTTTGTAGTGGGCTGAATGGTGTCCTCCAAAATACGTCCAAGTCCTAACTCCCAGTACCTGTGAATTTGACCTTTTTGGAAAACAGGGTCTTTTTGCAGTTATAATTAAGGATCTCAGAATGAAATGATCCTGGATTTAGGGTATGCACTATATCCAATGACAGGTGACCTTATAAGACATAGGAAAGGAAAATTGGAAACACAGAGGCCCAGGAAAGAAGACTGCCGTGTGAAAACGAAAACAAATTAGAGTTACGTTGCCACAAACCAAGGGATGCCAGGAGCTATCAAAGACTGGGATAGACAAGAGACGATTCTTTCACAGAGTCTTCAGAGGAGGCGTGGCCCTTCCAACACCTTGATTTTGGACTTCTGACTTCTAGAATTGTCACAGAATAAATTTCAGTTGCTTTTAGCCTCTCAATTTGTGGTAATTTGCTATGGTGGTAGGAAACAAATACAACTTTTCATCTCAAAACTCCAATCGTTTCTCTTTCTCTCACTCCCCACCTTTGCCCCCACTCCCTGGATGAGTTGTATTTATTAATAAAATAGATGCAATCCGATGACAACAATCTCTTGTTCCCATCACTCCCATATACCCACCTTCATTTGTATACACCATCTGCCTTTTCTTGCCTTGGGGTTCCTTTTCTGTCAAAGGACCCCTGTCCACTAATCTTTTTTATTTGACTATTATTGGGTGCAAAAGTAATTGGTTTTTGCCATTGAAAGGAAAGGCAAAACTACAATTACTTTTGCACCAACCTAATAATGTATGCCCAGTTACCCCCTCCTCTGTCCTGTACTATCATCAGTTGTCTACTAGAATCACTTCTATTGGCTTAAAAACATGGTTTGTTATTGTCTGTCTTAAAAGTGTATGTGTGTGTGTGTGTGTTTGTACATGTACATGCTTTCGACCTTGACTTCATACCCCTCTCCAAATAGTTTACTTTCTCTGCTCCCCTGACAGTTCTACTCCTTAAAAGAACTGTTCATATTTATTATTTCTACTTTCTCACTTCCCCTTTTCTGCCCAATTTACTTTGATCAAGTTTTTCTTTCTACCACTTCACTGAAAGACCTCCTATAATGATCTCTATGTCTTGCATTTTGCTAAACCCAATGACTAATTCTCTGTTTTCATTTTCCTCAAACTTGCAGCAGTTGACGTAGTTCTCCACTCACTCCTGTCACTTCCTGCTTCAGGCATTTGTAGATCTTACCTGTTATTATTGCCATGACAAGTTGAAATAATTGGGGAATGACATTTTTTGAGGAGCTAGTAATTCTCACTCTTGTCTTTGTGCTTTTTGTTGTGTCTATTTAAAGCTTGATAGAGGGTTTGGGATTGATTATTTTGTTTTGCTTTTATTACAGTCATGTTCATGGACCAAATGTTCTGGGAACAAAAGGACATTTAGAGATGACCTGGAAAGCCACAGTCTAAGACCAAAATAATTTAAGCAAAAATGGAATCTCTATTAGCAGGGGTTCACTGATAAGACATAAACATAAATTAAGATTGCTAAATGCTATAAATAAGCAAATTATCTATACTTTTCATATCTGTCATGCTTGTTTTTCTGTTTTAGTGGCAGATAAAGAATGTAGAGAGATTCTGTGCAAGTTCCCAGAGTAAGATCCTAAGTTGGGAACACATAGCTTAGTATCCAGAACAGCGCTCACCTACGGGTGATTTTATGATGCCAGATGTGAGACTTCGGAGAGAATCTGGTTTAACATGAATGTTTCTAAGTATTGTCCTGAATATGGCAAATGAAGACTGGTAGGAATCCAGATTAGTACTCAAAGGGAGCAGGAGTAGAAGTGCTGCATGAAGGTGATTTGTGTCTTTGCTCATGAATATGAATTCTCCCCAGGGAGAGTTGGAAAAGGCTAAAGCAAATAATTAAGAAAGAAAAAGAGAGAGGGAGGACACAACAGCCACTGGCCACCAACAGACAAAGAAATCGGTGTTTAAATATCCCTATTCCTTTTCCTCCCTGGAGGGATAATGTTCCCTGTATTTTTCCCATGGGGCTAATGGGATTCTCCAAGTGACCATTGTGGAGGCTGACTTAATCACGCCCTCTTCCCCACTCCTTGCTCAAGTTCTTGTGTTTCCCAAATAACTTCATGCACACAACGTCTTGTTTCAGGGTCTGTTATGGAGGAGTGAATACTGAAACCTCACCTAAATTGATGGATGTCCTGGTAGCAGGAGAGGGTATATACATGCTATGGGTCAAAATTCAAATGTTAAAATTCTACCTTGCAGTACTTCAGAATGTAACCTTATTTGGAAATTGGGTTGTTTGCAGATGTAATTAGTTAAGATTAAAGCGGACCAATAATTCAATAAGACTGGAGTCCTTATAAAAAGGAGACTATTTGGACACAGACATAGACACTCGCACTGGAAGAATGCCATGTAAACACAAAGGCAGAGATCAGAGTTGTGATGTGTTGCATTGTATACCCCTACAATTTTCATGCTAAAGTCTTAACCTTTGAGGGGACTGTATTTGGAGATAGGTCCTACACTGAAGTATTGAAGGTTATATGAGTTCATAAGGGTAGGGCCCTAATCCCTAACTAATTACATCTGCAAACAACTGCATTTCCAAGTAAGATCACATTCTGAAGAACTGCAAGGTAGAATTTTAACATTTGAATTTTGACCCATAGCATCTCCTGGGACCCTCTCCTGGGACCAGGAGCTACTGGGACCAGGACATCTGACAGTTTAGGTGATGTCTCAGTATTCACACCTCCTTAGTTCTTTTAAGGATCTGTGTCCTGAAAACAAGAGACACTATATAAAGGGCTCTCTCGCTTTCTCCCTCTCTCTCTCTCATTCCCTGCCCTACAACCATTCCACTACCATGTGAGGACACAATGAGATGGCAGTCATCCACAAGGAAGAATACAGCCCGCACCAGAACTGGAATCAACCCACACCTTGATCTTGAGACTTTTCAGTCTCCAGATCTGTGAGAAATTTGTTTCTGGGGTTTAAGTCACCCAGTCTGTAGTATTTTGTTCTGGCAGCTTGAGCTGACTAATGCAAGGGTGATGAGTCTATAAGCCAAGAAATGCTAAAGGTTGCCAGAAAACCACCAAAAGCTAGGAGACAGGCATAGTACAGAGGTTGCTCATGGCCCTCAGAAGGAACCAACCTTGCTGACATCTTGATCTTGGACTTCTAGCCTCAGAACTATGAGACAGTGCATTTCTGTTGTTTCAGCCACCCGGTTTGTGGAACTTTGTAAGAGCAGCCCTACTAAATTAACACAACACATAACTGAAGAGTCATGGTGGTGCACAGACCATAGACACTCTCTGTGGCCTTCAGCCCGACCGGGCCTGTATTTGAGTGCATATCTATAGGAAAGTCAGAAACTGGAGTCAGATCTGAAACCTATCCTGAGGACAGGATGTGTGTCTGTTGTAGCCTAGACTTTGGCTGTGGGTTTTCTTATAACATTACCCCTGTCCCCTCTTTTCATATGTGGGGCTTTTATCTTATTCCTTATTGCTTTCCTCTTTACTCCCTTAGCAATATAGTATATGGAAATAACAGGACTTAGAAACTACAGCAAATTCCTATAAGTAAATCTTTGACTTTCTTAGAAAACATAGACATACATTTGATGCTTACCTTGAGTCTGATTTCCTTGACCTTCACCAACTGAACTTTTAAAGAAAACCCTTTACACACAAAAATGAAATAAGTAAGTTAATTAAAATTTAATGAATATAAATAAATAATTTAGGTTCTGCAGCAGAAAAAGCCTTGGAATCAGCACCAGAATATTTGGATTCTAAGACTCACTTTGCTCTACCAGTTAAGTAAATTTCAGAAGTCAGTCTACTTTTCTTAGAGCCTCATTTCTTCATCTATACAATGATGAAATAGGGCTTGGTTACCTCTAAAGCACATAGGCTTTTTACAGCTCCAGTATTCCTGATTCCTGTGATTCATTCTCACCTGTGCCAGGCTTTGCTCCTGGCAGGAATGGGGACCATGAAACTGATGAAGCCATGGAGTAAAACCAGGTGGGGATGGAAATCTCTGGCTCTCCTGCCTAGTTCACATGCCAGGTCCAACCAACATAAATGCATTTGCCAGTAACGACCTTGTGGAGAGCTTTCAAATGCTGAACATTTACACTCATAGATTCTTCTCATTATTATTTTCAGCCTCACTGCACATTTTGTTTCAATTTGTTTTAAAAATTGTTTTGGAACACTTTCTATTACTAGAAACTTTGACAGTATTGGCAATCATGGTAACATTCTCTCCCACACTGATTTAATGTGGAGTTAGCCTCTTTCCAGAGCATTTACCTAGTGCAGATGTGTGAGCTCTATTTTTCTCTGATTCCAAAATCAGTTTTTCTCCCCTTAGATGCAATGGCCTAAAGAACTGGTTGGGATTTGAACAGTCTGTCTTCTAAGGTTCTTTGACTCTATGATCATTAAAAATAATTATGAAATAAAATTGTATGTTCATTGTAATTCCATAAAAACATAGTCTGTCATCATTGTTTGATTTGTCAGCATTAGAATTGAGAGAAGTAGATCAAACCAATGTCATTTCAGAGACTTCATGAATGATGTGGAGTTGGTTTGGGTCTTAAATGGGTTTTCTAATTAAGGACAGTAATGAAGGAAGGCATTTCTGAAGAACCAATGTGAGCACAAATGAAATGAGAAAGGTACGGGCCATATTCCAGGACATATCCAGCTCTCTACTTTGGGCCAGATTAAAAAGGACTTTAAAGTAACTATTTAATGGGTTTTCTTTTAGAATTATGTAAATGTTTTGGAACTAGAGTAGAGGTGCTGTTTGTATACCACTGTGAATATACTAAATGCCATTGAGTTGTTCATTTTAAAATAATACTTTTATGTTTTGTGAATCATACTTCAAAAAAAAAAAAAGAAAATTTAAAAAAAGCAAGAAGGACTTCAAAGGCAAGTCCTATATGTGTTTCTGCTTAACCTGACAAGCAATGTGAGCCCTGTGAAATCTATGGAAGCTGAGAAGTCACATGATCAAAAAACAAAGAAAACGGTAACAGTTTAGGCGACGAATTGAATAGGGAGATACATGAGGTGGAGAGATCAGCTATATGGTTATTAAAATAGTCTACCTGGTAGCTTAAAACTCAGGGTTATCTTTTCTTTGAACATGTTTTTGTGCAAATTTCTAGACATACATGAAGTTACAGAAAACAGTTTAATAAATTGCATGTACATATCACTCAGCTTCAAATAATTTTTAACATTTTCCTAAGCTGATTCCCTCCCACTCCTCTATCCTGCCCCCAACTCACCTCCACACACATTTTGCTTCACTTTATTCCCTGGAGTACTTTAAGGCAAACTCTAGACATCCTATCATTTCATCAGAAACAAACAAACAAACAAAACTTGAGAATACATGTTAAACTTAGAAGGATATTTTTCTTTCTCCTTCTTCTTCTTCCTATTATGATACAGTACACCTAAGAGAAATATGGGCCAATTTTAATAACATCCAATGTTTTCCTGATTGTATCAAAGATAAATCTTAACAGTCAGGTTGTTCTAGTTAGATCTAAATGAGGACCATATATTGTATTTAGTCATTATATTTCCTAATTTTTTTTTAATCCTACCAATAGCATCCTGATCTTATTTTGTGTATGCCATTGATTCGTTGGAGAAAATGTATCATCCATCTTGCTGAATCCTCCACATTCTGAGTGTGGCTGCTTGCTGCTAGAGGATTTCATCTTGGACCAGTGGAAACCATCTTCACATTGGATCTTGTTTCCTATTGATGTGCAAGTGGTATTGAGAGACAATGATCAAGGATCTGGAGTGCTCATTGTTATTGCTTGTCAATATTCCTAGGCATTTTTAAGAAAATAGAGCTAAATATACATGTGTATACAAGAAAAAAAATGAGCTTCTAGTGATATTTATAATCAAATTTAAGATAGCATTGTTTTACTTAATTTTGTTCATTGAATGAACAATGATTGAATGAACAATAATATTGTTCATTGAATAATAATATTATCTCTTGTAATGAAAAATAGTAGTTTCTAATTTAATTAATGAACTTATTCATAAAATAGTTTTAAAATAGGTATTAATATAATATCCCTACTAACAATAAGACTACTGAAGGTAGCTTGCATTTTCATTGTCAGGAGCCATTTTTGATGTCCCATTTTTCAAATTACTCACATCAGTGGTATGCGAATTTCTTTTGACTTTGTTTGTTATCAATTCTTCTGGATCAGATTATTTCAATGTTCTCATAATCTGTCTCTCTCCATCCCAATCTCCCCTTCCAAGATATTTTCTAGATTTCTGCCAGAGGTATATTTCTAAAGCACATATTTGATTAAAATAAACAAGCAAAACCAAACCAAACTTCAACGGCATCTCATTATCTGCTCAATGAACTCCAGACTTCTTTCCCTGCAGGTTAAGGTCCTCCTCTGCAGGGTAAAGTGAAATCGTCACAGACTCCAGCTTTCAGAACTTCTCTTAAGACTTCTGCCCCTGTGGATACAGAACTCAGCACTGCTGTGCATCCACCATAGAATGTCCTAAATATAGGAGAGACAGTAAAAGTTACCAATATCACAAGGCCTTGAGAAAATAACTTAAAAATATCTTGTTAGATGTAGCTCTCTTTTTTAAATCCTTACGTCTCTTTTTGACTTTTCTTGATATTTTCCCTCCTTTGACCCTCTTTCCAAACATACTTAATCTCAGACTTCTCTGAATTTTTTTCTTGAATTTTTCAAAAATGGAAATGCATTTTATCTCCTCCTTTATACAGAATAGTTCTTTCTCAGTTCACACCTTGACACTTATATCTGCAAATCTATTAATACATGTAATAAAACAATGATATTTCCCATTAGTAGGACTTATTATCCTTGCAGTTTGGCAGACATATTTTATGACTTAAATACATTTTTTTTTTTGCTTTTCACTCACCCTTCTATAACTTCTTTATATTTTATATAGCTAGTTGCTCAGATATGAAAGTGTCATCTTTATTTTTTTTTTTTTTAAACACAGGTTTATCCCAAACTGCCTTGCCTGTGTTTTATTCTAAGATTATCCCACATTCTGGTGAGGCAAACTCATTTACTTTTTTCATTTTACTTCTATGATATTAAAACTTGCCTAATCGGATTGCATTTTCCCATCATTTCCACCAACTGAAATCTCAATCAATGATTCAAAATTCTGCTTATATGCCATCCTCTTCATGAATTTTTTCCTGTTCTGATTTCAACCAAGTATTGTCTTCAGAGAATTCCAGAAGGGTTCATCTATGCCCCACTTAGGTCATTTACATTATTGTGTCTTGAATTATATTTGTCTATGTCTACATATGTCTCCATTATGAGGGTACATTTGGCCCTGGGGAAGAGTTAATTTTATTCACATTAAGGTTATCCAGCAACTTAATAAATTATATGTTGAAACACAGAATGCAACTTACTGTTACCCAGATTTAGATAACCAAATATCATCTATATTCCCGTTATGTCTTTTGAAATTCAATAATGACCTATTTAAAGGATAATATAAAAGGACAGGAAACTTTTCTGAGAACACAATGCATTTTATAGATATTTTATAGATCCTCTTTCTAGAAAAACAGCATATTTCCCACATTTTACAGTCAATTGCAAGGTTGCACTTGTTTCCTTTTGGTGCCTCGGTGGAGCTAGAGAACTACTGTTCCCCATGGTATTTCTATTTCTATGTCTGGGCTGTTTAACTCATCCCCATGTTCTGCCTATTTAATTGTTCCTCCATTTGTAATTAGTGTGACTAGTGACAGTTCCCAAAGATAATTCCATTATAAAAGGAGAGTTTATGTATTGGAAAAATGAGTTCCACCCAACAAACTACAGATATGCATTATAGAACTGAATCTTACTGAATCCTCACTGATATGTATGTATGGGTATGTGTGAATGGTGCACTGCTAGGTATTGTCATTCGTGTCAGGTACTGAGAGACAAATAAAAGAAAGCAGAACCAGTTGGTACCTGAGAAAGTGTGGGTTATGTGCAGATGTGCAAAAAAAATCATGCATAAAATAAACTGTTAATAAATGTAATTATTCCACTGTTTCCCCTTGTATGTCTTCTCCTCAGGGAACTATGAAAAAGCCAGACGCTGATCTGGGAAATGTCCCAGAATTATTCTTTTGAAAAATATTAACACTCCATTACAAAAGGTCTTGTGGGGAATTATATTGAAACTCAGTTCCTGATGTCTATAAATGTTTAGAAGCAGCAACATATTGGAGCAAACTTGCGATTTGAGGGTGAGCATTATGCAATTGATTAGGAAAAAGGTGAGCTTTGAAATTGTCTTTAAGTATAATTCTACTTCCAATGGCACAGATAGGCCTCTTCCTGTGATTGAAGGGGTAAGCGCTTTCTGAAACCTCCCTCTCACTAGTTAAACATAAGAGAGGTGCTGTTGGTATAGTTCTTGGCATAGGGTAACTGCCCAAGTCACACTGCTCCTTCTGGGGCAGCTGGCACAGTTGGTAGTAAATGCCACTGTTGCTGCATACCTGAGATCCCATGTAAACTGTGGTACCATCTTCTCTATCTGCTGGGCATTAGTGAATTCATAAATTTGATTTGATTCAGAAGTGTAGAAAAGAAGAGACCATTTCTCCTTTCTTGCTAAAGGTAGAAGAATTCCCCTGTGATCATAGTGCTATGATGGTGAAGGTGGGGCAGGAGTAATGCTGAAACACACCTGTTATTTTATGGAAGTTCAGCACTCAGTGCTTTTGTGATGGCAATTATAGCATATGGGTTAGTGCCTTGACATAGTAAGAACTTACAAATTTTGGGGGGATTAGAAGATTGTTTTGAAGTTTGAATGAATATCGCTGCTTACAAAATGGAATAAAATGGTAACATCAAGCTTCAGTGCCAGGGGAGATCTTGGAGTGGAATTTTTAAAGTAACAGGACAGAAGACTTCTGGTGACAGTGGCCCTATGCACACAGGAGCCTAGACCTGTGCTGTACAGTAAAGGAATTTACAGTATGGTTTAACTCCACACTAAAGGATCAAAACATAAGGGGTAGGCATTATCATATGTCTATAAGGTGGGATGGGATGATATGTCTAACTCTGTTTTCCATTATGCAAAGGAAACATATCAACGGAAAGAACATTACGAAAACAGTAAGAAAGCTAGAATAATGTTCACGCAAAATGAACCACCTGGTTCTTATTAAGAACTACCCACCCACTAAATTACCTTGGGTTCTATATAGTAGAGTTGGCTTGCAGGACAAACATAGTTGCTTAGATATGTTTATAAAATTGTACCATTTGGATGAAGAAAAAATTAAATATTCAAACGTATGAGTGATTTCAATCTGAAAAACACGAAGGCTGTTTTTGTCATGGGGTGATTTAAACTATAGCTGACCCAGAGCCATTCTTAAAAGTATGTGGTGAAGGAGGCCAATCCTGATTAGTTAATTAGACAGGGGATAACAACAGAAGAAAATTGTGTACTAAAAAAAATCAAGCTTAGAGGGAGACATTTTTAACTACTGTATAACCACTCCTATTTAGCAAAAAAGAAGAATTTTAACTTCAGGAGGATATGCACTAGACGCCAGAATGAACCACAAGAAATTTCCCTGGTGAACAAACTTAAGACTGAGAGAAAAAATAAGAAAGTTACGGTTCCTCTGAATTATCAGCTCAAATCTTTTTAATTTTCCCAAATTGGAAATATTTATATACTGTTGGGATGTTGGGCTAACATTCCCTGAGTTTGCCCTTTTTATGCCTCTAAATAATTGGTTGTTTTAGAGTTTGCCATGCAATAGTGCATTAAATTTGCTTGTACATCTTCTTTGTTCAAGAAGCCATCATGTGGTTAAAGAAAGTGTCTGTCTGGATTTCTTTGTAACCCCAACACTGAGTTCAGGGACTGATATTTAAAGCTACAAAATAGATGGCAGAGGCCCAAATCCTTATAACACTACGAATGTAAGTCTAAGTAGGGCAAATACTCACAAATGTTCAAGTTATGACTTATTTTTTCCTTATTGGAATAAATTACAACAGATAATTCATTTTCAACAACAACTAAATATGTCAATTATATAATTTGCCAAATTTTCATTTGAAATCATTCATTCTGAGAAAATTCATAGGTCTCAAATGTGGATAACTGGAAGTATCTTAACTATGTGAGGTAGGAAGGAGACTTCAGTGCTTTCTTGCGGGGGGTGGTCACATGGACTGTGGAAGATCGGGATGATAGCATCATTACTAGGGCTCTGAGCAGGAAGAGCTGCTTTGGGAAGCTGAGAGGGTGTAGGAGAACATCAACTGTTAGTTCAACTTATGCAGATTTTGACTGAGACTTTTGCGTTACATCTTGGAAATAGTTAATAGCAGTTGGATATATGGAATCTGATATTGGAGTAAAAGACATATTTAGAAACATAAATGAGGAAATTTTCACATAAGTTTGAGATTTAAAGGCATGAGAGACTAAAATTATCCAGAGAAAGAATGTAAATAGTGAAGAGAAGAATACATGAGTATTAAAAAAATCTCAAATTTCTTTGGTCGCTGAGGACAGGTACTGTGAGGATTAGAGGAAAGGAAAGGAGGAGGTGGCCATGACAAGGTGTAGACCACGGAGGTAGGAGGGTGGGAAGGTGTTGCCAGTGAGGAGGCAACATGAGCATGATGAGGATGATGACTACATAAAAGTTACTATTTGGTAGGAACCATTCTGGCACGTCACTTGTATTGAGTCATTTCATGCTCAAAGCAACTTATAAAGTAAGCACTACTATTATCTACATTTTGCAGATGAGGGAACTGCAACTTGCCCAAAGTCATTCTGCTATTAATAAACAGGAGAGAATGCAGGACACAAATATATGCAGCCTAACTCTATAAAGTCAAGAGAGAGAACTTGGGATAAAACTGCAGGGCCATTGGCCCTTTCCAGGAGACAGAAAGTCACTAAATACCAATGTCAGGGCAAATACCTGTATCAGGGCCTGTAAGGGCATCTTTGTCAACATTCCAGCTAGTATGAGAATATGGTAGTGTTAATGCCCATTGTATTCTAATCATTCAGATATATGCACGTTCCAGAGAAACACCATAAAATAAAATAACGGATTTCTGAGTTAGGCCACATGTGCTGTTTTAACCCGCAATAATAGCTTTAACGGCTAATTGTTAATTTCCACTTTTAATAGATCTACTTGCTGAGACCTTACTTCTTACTCCTCCCTTTCCTTAATGTATCCTCTCCTCTTTTCTTAATCCATACTGTGTGTGTGTGTGTGTTCCAGGTTTAAGAGCATGGGTCAGCCTAGTATTGTAACTACTAGACATACAATTATTTCCATGGATGATTCTACTGCATGAGGTGTGGTTAGGTGGGACTCTAAGTTCTTACTACAACCATATCAGACACTGGTGGACTAAGCCAAGGGAAGAAAGAAGAGCAAGGGTAGTAACTGTGTGCTTCCCCCAGCACATGCTGAGCAGGGCATGTGGTGACTCAGGGATTAAATCTCCAACCCAGAAACTGTGGGTTGCTCTGTCCTGGCATCAGCATGTCAGCATTTTATGTATTCAGAACTTAGAAATCTTTTTTGTTTGTTTACTTTTGTTTTTGTTTTTTAACTCAGAAATATAAAGGGAACTTTTGAAAAACTTTCAAAAGTTTTTCAAATCATTGTTTCCTCCTTATTTTAAGCATTAAAAATACGCCTAAAAACCATTTCATTAGTGAAAGGAAGTTTAGAAGAAGGGAACAGAAAGAGCTAGATTCTTGTCCCCCTCACCCTTTGGCCAGTTAGAGAACAGATTAGATACATACCAAAATTATTTTAGTATTTAGGAAAATAGCCACATTGCATCTTCTAGGTAAATGTTGAGGTGGGCTCAAAATGGAGCTGTGCACAAAAGAGTCACATGTTGGGCGGAGTGTAAGCAATGATGCCCTGGTAGTAAAGTGACAAAGGACAAAGACTGGTCATTACTTAATCTAAAATTGAAGCTTAATGTCTTGATCATTCACTTTTTGAGGGCAGGAGCCATGTCTGAATTACCTTTACATAACAGCATCTAGCAGCCTATTACAACTCTATAAAAAAGGCAGCCAGGTGCAGTGGCTTATGCCTATAATCCTGTGCTTTGGGAGGCCAAGGTGTAAGGATCACTTGAGGCCAGGAGTTTGAGACCTACCTAGGTAACCTAGTAAGACCCTGTCTCTACAAAAATTAAAAATTTTTCAAAATTAGGCTCCTGCGTGCCTGTAGTTCCAGCTACTCGAGAGGCTGGGGCGGGAGGAACAATTCTCCTTGTCAAAAACAAGCAGTCCTCATCTCAACCACACCCTACCTTCATTTGGAGGCTTTCAAGGGCTCTATTATTAAAAGCTATGTAATGCAGCCCTATCTGGCATTCTCTGCAGAAAATTTAAGAGACACAGAAAGATGCAGCCTGTGATGAATCACCTCACCCTAACTTCCAGCTCAGCGAAGCCAGGTCTCTCTTGCCCCAGGCAAGGTGGTCTCCCTTCATCAGTACACTTCAGACTGAGGAACTACTGAGAATACGGGGAGGTGCATTGAATAACAGCAGGAAAATACTGAAAGCATAATTACGGAAAGGTTAAATGAACCTCTCTGTCTTTCTCTCTTTTTCTTTTTTTCTTCCCACCCTCAATGCTATAAAAGGTTGCATTTCGACCTAAAAAGTGCTCCCACGCCTTCAAACACAGTATGCTAAAGAGGCATTTGTTTCATGCACGAAGAACCCGAGCTCCGTGGAAAGGTTGCTCCCGTGACCACTCAACCTCTATTTGAAAAGAATCTTCAATGGCCAGAAACTCAGAAGTACCTTGAGTAATTGGGGCTGCAAGGAAAAGGATGATGAAACAAAAAGGATTCAAAGCTCTCAGCTGCCTTTCGAAGAAGATGACTATAGTTTTAAACGGAGGCTTTCTTATTTCCTTGCTAGTGTGGGTCAGCAAGGGATTAGGCCAGCAAGATCCTTAAAGTCACTGGAGGTGCTTTTGGGGAAGAAAAGACGTCTGCTCACCCCCACCCCTTAGGGGATTTAGTGTAAGCCTTAGAAGGCATTTGTTTCTCTTGCTTCAAATATCATCGTCTTCATTTTTAAAAAATCCTTTTAAAACGATGGTCTTGATTTGGATTGTTTGAGAATGTTCTTTTTCCATTTACTTTGCTACTTAAGGGATTGGGAGAGGCAGCTGTTCTGATGCACATTAGAAGAAAACCTTTTCCCAAATAGAAGAAACCAAGAAAGAAAAATAGTTAGGACTTCTTGACATTTTATGCTCTGATTGTTACATGGTGCAACTCGAAGAGGGACCTGCCCTATAAATATTTGTAGCTTATTTATATCCAGAATATATTGCCAAACTGTATAAATGAGGTAATAACATATAGGGAATGAGGTGACTGGTAAAATTTGCTCCACTAATTGGCGTTTTGAAAGAAAGCAGGATTAAAAGCAGGAAGAGACAGAAGTTTAGGCCTGAAGCAGTGCATTTTTATCAGTGACAAAAATCAAACTTTACCTTTGGGTCGGGATTTGCACCTTACTAAATCCATATAAACCGTCTCTCAGAAGCCTGAACTCAGTTTGTATTTCGGCTTCACAGCTGGACGGATGGCAAGGAAACAGACAATATTCTGTGTGTGAATTTACTGTTTCTCACTAGGGAGGTGGAAAAAAATTTTGTTTTTTTCCGACAGAGGGATAATAATTCCTGGGGAACTGAAATACAAACTTTATTGCAATCTGATAAATGTTCTTTACTTTTCTGGTCTGGAACCGCAAGATCCCATTTGCTTTTTTACGTATGTTTTAAAAAGCATACACCTGTCTTCGGGGGAGTTAAAAATTAGGTGTATTGGGTACGTACTGTACCACTTCGCATGTTGTACACATCATACATCTCACATTGAATTCTCTCAACAATCCTGATATTTATTTTATAGATTTTTATAAATGATAACATTTAGAGTCAGAGCAATTAATTAGCTTATCTCTGCTAGAATGCA